CCCATCATTATTGAGCCCTCTTCTCTGCACACTTGCCATGAGATGGCACTATGGGGATATGCATAATCACAGTTTGCTTTTCTCCCATTCATTGCTATTCCTTCAGGCTGAAAGCAAATTGGAACAGTTTTTATTTTATTTTTTAAGGTTTGTACCTTCTAAATATTCAAGGGCTTCAATGATAAGAATATATTTAAAGGAAAATGAAATGCATATGAAGTATAAGGCACATTTTTCATAGTTTGAATGGGTTTTAAATTATTAGAAAACTAAGGCTAAAGGGAGAAAACTGTGTTTTTATTTCTCTTAGTATTCATCAGTTTAGAGCTAACCTTGCAAATACATTTTGGATGCTAAGATATATAGTAAATAAGTTGATTTGGAAATTCGACGACCTTCATGATATAAATTATTCATGCCATCATGGATAGCACATCTCCTGCATACCATATTTTATCATAGCTATAGCATTTTTTCATTTGTGTTATACAAACAGTGGAGTGGAATGTGTGTCTTGTCCTTTCATTTTGTTACAGTGAACTTTTGTGTGGCTCCTCAAGTTAAAGACATCAGAATGAATCCCAGTGTCTTCTAAGGCATAATTTAGTGAGATTCAGGCATTTGGGGAAAAGAAAGGCAACATGGTTTAGTAAGACAAACCTGTGTTCAAATTCCATCTTGCATTTTCCATCAGCTCAGCAGAGTCTCCTTTTATTTATGTGTGAAATGTTAGCAGCAGGTTCAATGGAGAAAGCTCCATCAATGCTGGTCTCCTATTCTCTGCCCTCAAGCTTCTTGGGAAAGGGATGTAATGAGGAAGAGCAGTGTGGTCAGTGTAAAACCTAAAACATGTGGGTGTTTTTAGGAGGAATCTTGCTGTTACTTCCTGAATCAAAATCTTTTTCTTATTACCTAGGATCTGTTGTAGATTTTTCTTTTGTTCCAGATCTGTCTTAGGTTTCCTACTGGTACTCTGCTTTGTTAGTGACAGCTAGGAGATATGATGATTGCAGGAGTCCAGAAGGTTCTGCAAGCCACTCTGCCCTAGCATCTTCCACGCTGAGAGTTGGGTCCTGGCCTAGGTAATCACAGAAGGAGCTGTGAAGGCATTAGTTTCCTTTGCAGTGTTCATACAGAGCTTTTGGCTGGCGAGACAGCTTAAGAGGAGACCAAGGCTCATAGTAACCTGTGTTAAGATAATATTAATATTTTTTTTCCAAGAAAAATACAAAGATTGATGAAAAATTAAAAATATTTATGTGTGAATCTTTGGCTACTCATCCTGGATCATTCATTCTTTGGCTACTCATTCTAAAAATCTCTTTTTAGCTTCCTAACTACAGCCATTCATAGTAGAGCAAATATGCTTTTGGTCCATCTTTTCCTTAGTTTACATTTTAATGACCTTAATAGATTTTAGATGTGCTGAATACATGCCTCCCACTAATGAGAATGGACAAAGTTTTCTATTTCAGGGTGATTCTTTTTTTTTTTTTTGTACCAGGGATTGAATTCAGGGGCACTCAACCACTGAGCCACATCCCCAGCCTTTTTTTGTATTTTATTTAGAGACAGAGTCTCACTGAGTTGATTAGGGCCTCACTAAATTGCTGAGGCTGGTTTTGAACTTGTGATCCTCTTGCCTCAGCCTCCCCTGCCACTAGGATTACAGAAGTGTGCCACCGTGTCTGGCCCAGGGTGATTCTGTGTCATGAAAAGGGCGGCTTCAACAGAGAGCTGGTCCTACAACATAGTTACTTTATAACTTTGGAAATAGCTTGGAATCAACAACCCTAAAATATAATCATTTTTATCAAACACACTCTAATGTGGCACTGACTCAAATTCATTTTTATGTATAAGGCCAGCTTTCCCATGGGTATGTTTGTCACCAGGAAGAAACTTTGTAACTTCACCAGGAAGTTATTTTATTTTATGGTGACAAGATAGATGTAGATTTTTTTTTTCCTACTGCTTCTGTGGCATAATTGGCCATGATATTTTCTGAAAAATATTCACTCTAAAGTGTTTGTTTCAATTCCATATTATACAGTTGTAATCACATCTCTCACTGTGTGTGTGTGTGTGTGTACACGCATTTGCATGTCTGGCAAAAACCCTGTGTTGGAGTTTCTAATGAAATAATAGCCTGATTTCAGTCCATCTTTCAGTAAAAGTGGAGTGACCATCCATTGATACACGAAAGTAAAGTTGAAAATATCATGATACAATGCCCTTTGTTTCTTAATAGCATGTGAATTTGTCATTATCAATGTGTTATATCCATATTTGAGGGTATGTCTGGATATTCAAAGATATGTCATAAAGGGGCCACAATTCATTGATAGATGCTAACTTGCAAGGGAGCATGTGGAGGGGAATTGAGATTCCAGGGCTTCTAGGGTAGAAGGGGGAATTCTTTCCCCCATAAACCCATTGCTGAGCCCATGGCCTTGTGCACTCGATATAGCAGGTACTGACTTGTGAACACATAAGCCTGTGGTTGTGCCCTGTCCCCTACCACTCCCAGAGGTCCTTCTTTAGCTCTGTGGCAGCTCCAATCTGAAATGTAGCAGTCTTTTCACCTGCAGAATGGGAGGGAGGGCATGCAGTGTGCTTCCCCGTGGTGATGAAATGTGTCTGTGAATCGTCACATTGGCAAGGGAGCTAGAGTGGGCCTGTATGTGCATGCTGGCTGCTGTCCATGGGGTTCTGGAAAATAGCTCATGGCCAGAACAATTAAGGTTCTGTAAAAATATACTAATTTTAACATATTTTTCTGCCTCACAAAGAAGTGCCATATGGGCTATCAATGGACTTAGAACAAACTATATTTTAGTATCTATGTTGCTTGGCCCTTAGCAAAAGCGCAGCTACGATCAGACATATTCTTGATTGTTTGCCCCAAGTAAATTTGTCTAGTTCAGTTCTCCTGGGGCAGAGGATTTAGAATTGTGTCTAGTGATGTCCCTTAAGTTCCATGAAATCCTCCAAGAGGCCACTCTTGAAGACAAACATCAGCAAAGTGGGTCTCATTTTATTTCAGCCAGAGCCCTCTGCTTTTACTATTCTCAGTACTGGTTTGTAATATGGAACGTTGAAGAAAAGCTTCTGGTTGTCTTTCAAAGTATTCTCTTCATCCCTGAAATGATACAGGCCATTTGAGAGCTGTGTACTTGAACTTCATTGCTTGACTCCTTGTAGAATAACTTTTACTGACTTGTACTTTGTTACTGTACCCTAGGAGTGTTCCAGGAGCGCCAAGAGACTCCGCCATATGCAACTTGCGGTTATCTGTTTTATTTGATGAAGTAATGTGCTCATCTGTATTTATGAGGACTCCTGGGGTAAATCTCTTCAGTGCTTGAGAGAAGGACAATGGCTTTTCTTGGAGAGAAAAGAAAAAAAGGAGTTATACACATGAGGACTATAGGACTATAGTAGCTATTTCTTTTCTTTGGTCACTAGGAAGCTCATGTTTAGATTTGTTACCCACCTTTAGCAATATTGCAGATGGATATTTAGGGTTATTAACTTCTATCCTTGGTATCCTTTTGTACTGTTCAATATTTTTATCCTCTATGCCTATGTGTCTTTACATATTTTTTTCATAATTCATGCATTATGGAATGTTATCTCAGCTGTCTTTAACACCAGGCAGCATTTCTCTCTTTCTTTCATCTTATTATTTTGTATTGCTGGGGATTGAATCCAGGGTTTCACACTTGCTAGGAAAGCACTCTACCACTGTCCTACATTTCAACCTTTTATTATATTTTAGAAGGTTGTACCTGGAGGTTATAGTTCTATGGCACAGCATGGCCTAGAATGCACATGGCCTTGGATTCAGTACTATCCACCCAAAACAAAAACAAGAACCAAGCAAACAAACAAATAAAAAAAATTCTATTGGATATCTAGCATCACATTGGACTTCAACTACTCTAAAGTAAATGCCTTTTATCTTCCCTTTCAAATCCATCTCTTTTCTTCTTTCTCCTCTTTGGGTTCCATGGGTTCAGTCATCTAGGTTTGCAGTCATGCTGTCCTATTTAATCTCCTTCCTCTTATATAACACACCCAATTGTTAACCAGATCCTTTTAATCCAACCTGAGCCCTACCTCTCAAATCTCTCCAGGTTTTTTTCATCCATGAGTAGTTACCTGGACTGTTTTACCAGTTTCCTAACTGCCCCTGATTTCTGTAACATCATCCACTAATAATCCTTATGCACACCGATTTCAATTATTTCAAAGTCATTCTCTTCCCAGAATTCTTCTTGTTACTATCCACAGCATGAGCTCAAATCCCCCAAGGATCTTTATAATTTGGTCCCCAGTCTGTGTTGTGTCTCTCATCTCTGTGCATTTCTTCCTGCTCCTTGTGTCCTTCCCTGCAACCACCCACCTCACCACTAGTTCCCCAACATGATATGCATTTCCACGCCTTGTGGTTCATTCTGCCTGATGTGTCCTTCCTGACTCCTTCTAGCCCTTATGATTCCCTGGGTTCTTCTCAGCTATTATCTTGTGTGAGGTTCCCCCCTCTTTTTCTCAGCACAGAAGAGTAATTGCCTTGTCTTCAGTCTTCCCATCTATTTTTTTATGCTACTTTTAGAGGATTCTTTACCCTTTTTTGAACTTTGTTGTGTTTACTTACCTTTCTTCTCCATTTGTGAACTATTTGGAATTTGGCTGAGTGGAAGGGAACATGCATACCAGTTTTCTGCCAATCTTGCTTTCTCTTAAGAATAAAATGCAACTGACTGAGGGGCTACCAAGTCCATAGAATCAATGATGGCTTCTGTGGGTCTGTGGGTAAGGATTGAAAGTGTGACTGATTAACTGCTGACCTTCAAATATTGGTATTGTATGTGTTATCATCTTCAGGTTAATGGAAGATTTCTAATACTATCATGATAAAGGTGCCAGAAGTCAAAGTGAGTTTTCATCATTTATGAACAGAATAAACTTAATCTGATTTTCTTTTATTCTTTTAGGAATAGGCAAGTCAAGAGGCTGAGAAGTCTGAAGAATGTTTCCAAAGGATAATCTGGCTGTTACTTGCTGGGTATGGAGGAGCATGAGGAAGCTGTTTCTATTACTGTCTCTCTTGCTGCCCCATGCAGCTCATTTGGAAGGCAAAAGAGATAATCAGTTCATCTGGAAACCAGGTAGGAATGTCCTGGCTGTTCCTTTGTCCCATTGTTATTAATGAGAAATCATGCTTTCCATCCTTGATCTTATTATGGAATAGTGGGAAATATACAGGCAGGAAAAATAAACCCTTTATTTTATAGCTTACATTGGATTTTTATTCTTGCATAATTGTCACCGCTATCCGTGATGCTTGTTATGCTTCAAAATTTTCATGTTGTTGTCAATTAAAGTTATGATTTCCATAGTTACATCTACTTCTCCTTTGTGAAATATTTCACCACTGTGCAGCACAGTTGCAGCAAAAATGACATCTGAATTTAGCAGGTATCCTTTGCTACAAATGCTTTGGAACAGTCCTGTATGAGTCTTTCTTTCAGGGTTCAAACTAGTTAGCTACTTAGTATTAAATACTTTCCAGCATACATCCTGTATATCTAGGTTTGGGGGCATGAAATATTATTCTAATAGCTTTGCTTACTAGTTGTGACTATAAAGTCATCTTAATGATGTTGGTGATCCTTAGCTATATTATGTATAAACTTTTCATATATATGAATAAGTTGAGCTTGGTGTTTGGAAGCTTATATATAACTTACATTCTTCCTTAAATATTTCCTTAATTTAGCTGTGAAAAAAATTTGTTAATTTAATTTCAAAGTTAATAATTTATTAAGTTAAATTATGAGCCCCATATATCTTGGCTCTTTGTGTCACTGATTTTTTGTTCTTCTGGATTTTAATTTTCTTAACATTTCACAATCAGATCGTTTAAAATATTTATTACTGTTTCAAGAATCCTTTCTTGCAAGTACAGATAACTTATACTCCTAATATAGTGGAAGGAAAATGTGATGTTGTAGAAGATCTATGGTTCTCAGAGTTTTCATTTTGGTCTCATCATCTGTAAATTAAATAGACTGTGAACGTATTGTCACCATGGAAATATGTATAAAAGTGATATTTGTAATATTTAAATGACTTTGCAAAAATGAAAGTGAATTATGCTTTAAAGGATATTAAGTAAAAAACTCCAGCACCATTAGAGAGATAGTCTAGAGGAAATTTAATTGCATCAAAGCCCCTATAAATTAATTTAATTGTGGCTCCAAAACCACAGTAGTGATTTGTGTTTTTCCCCCTTTACAGTAGTTTTAGGAGGCTTTGAAAATAGTTTTAAAAGTCAATGTTGCTTTTCTGCAAATGGAGCTATTTGGTTTTAATAACAAAAGACAAATATTTTATCACATTAAAATAAGCACATTTATCTGATTCTACTCCTGTCTAAATTTCTCCAAAAAATGCAATTAAAATGACAAATAGCAAATTTGAGATGAATGAGATATGTTAAGAGAATGGGCTTAATTTGAAGTAAATTTAAAAAATATCTGCTTTTTCAAAAGTAGGTCATTAGAACAGGAAGGAGCAGAATCAACTCTACACTGAATGAATACATTGATAACTGTCAAACTTGAGGTTTAGCAATGAGGATCCTTCCTATCAGATACATTGCATGTTCAAATGAATATCCAGGTCATTATTTTCATTTTCCCTGGTATTCTTTGCTTCCTTCCCTTCTTGCTGTTACATTACAAAGGTAGTAAGTAAGATACATTTCTCTCATTTCTGAATTCAATTCTAAACCAAATTATTTGTACCTGATCATATATTTTAAAATAGGAAAGTTGAAGCAGTATAAAATTAAAGCAAAAATCCAGACTATGTATTGAATTCACCAATCTCTTTAGGGTTCTAAAATATTCCTTGCATGTGTACATATATATTGTACATATTTATGTATATAAATTACAACACACAAGTATTGCTATTAATGTTGTTTAGGATTTTTCCAGGAAAGAAATGGCTAGGGAAAAACACTATTCATGAAAGTGGGCGAGGCCGAGGAGAGTTTGAAGACAGCCACCAGGATTGTGCAGTGCCCCTAATTACATCAGTTGGGGGGGTCTTTACAATTTGTAGGCCAACAGGGGTAAGGAAAAAGAATGGTTTCTAGAATCTCAAGAAAAAAGCATTCATCTGTAGATGCAGTGCCTTCCAGATGCCTTGGCCTTTAGAGGACTAGAACCAACCAAAGGTAGAAACTAGGAAAGGAACTGGAGAGTGAATGGACCTTGCCTCATCTTTCCTTCTGTTTCATCTTCTCCCGAAGTTTCCATTGTCTGAACTCTACCAGAAGCCACAAGAGAGGAGAGCCTATTGAATCCATGTAGATGGGCCTCCTGGGCAGGGAGGATGGTGGAGAATGATGGATATGAAAATACCTAATTAATACACATACACAACTAGAATCATGCTCTCAGCTTTCTTTTTTTGCAGCTTCATTTATCTCATATAATTTATCATGTAATTGACATATAATGGTCTTGATGAATATTACATCATAGAGCCCATAGGTCAGCCTCATCTTTTAATGATTGTCTAGTATTTTTGCATGTTTTAATTCAATAAGTTATTTCACTAGTTTCCTTTTCATTTATTTTTTCTTTCCCCGTTGCTTTGCATTTCTGTGGTTTCTAGTTTCTTTGCTTTTATAAAAACTAATGACCTGGATGAATCAGGATTTTAAAGGTAAGAAGTAGATTTATTTACTTGAGGAACCATATATCCTGGAGCAGTTCTGGATCACCCCTTTCATAGTCAACTTTGAAACCTTAAAATCTGTTACCTATTGATGAGTTTACTATATTTCATTTCGATTTTAAAGCTGTTTTTAGTTGAAACTAGTAATAATTTTTACAGCATGTTATCACATCACAAGACCAATGTAATCTGGAATTTGAATAGACTTCCATGGAGACTCAGATAAGTATATTTTAGAAACCTGGAAACCATTCTCTTGGTTTAGATTGTAGTGTCATCCACTTAAACTCTTTGTTAGTGTCTATTGTTTTTTCTTTGAATCAGAACATTAGATGTTAGTCAACTTTACCCAAATTAGTGGCATTTCTAGGTGAGTCATGGTTTCAGAAAAACAATGGATTGATAAATAATAATATATGTTGCTAAAGATTTCTGTACTAAAGGAGAGTCTAGTGTATCATAGACTGTGGGGTCATTGATCTGACAAGGCTGTTGAATGCCTGATCAGTTAGTTAGTGTCAGGCTATCTACCATTCATGTGAAGAAAGAAGGGTCACGTTAGGAAGAGTATCAGTTAAGGAATAAGGTTGCCTTCTGTTGTAAGTTTAGGTATGTAATTATTCATGTGTACCTTCTTTGTAGGAGACAGTAAATGGTAGTTTGTAAAAAGTTCTAAGTATTAATTCTAAGAGGTGCACTCATCACTCATTCCACTAATACCTACTGAGTGCTGACTGTGTGTCAGACACTGTTACAAGGATGTGAGATAAATGGATAATTGAGAGTAAGTCAGACAAATCCTTGGTTTTCAGGAACTGGGTACTAAACATGATCAGTAGTTAGAGAACAGGTTAGATGATGAGAAGTGCTAAGAAGCACAGACAGGGCAAAGAAGACAGATATATGGTGGTAGATGAGAGACTGATAGTTTTAGTTGGTTGTCCATGGGATACCTCAAGAAGGAAGTGAATTTGAGTGAAGACCTTCAGGAAGTGAGGGAGCCAGTCATGGGGATATTGACAGATGGATGGTGCAATAGGGCAATGGCTCTGAGACAGGAGTGCCTGGGACACGTTTAAAGACCAAGAGAGGAGCCCAGCATGCTGCAGCAGAGAGAACATGGGCATAGTGATAGGAGATAAGGACAGAGAGGTAAGGGGGCCAGATCAGTTGTGTTCCTCAGAGGACAAGGTTTTTACTTTGGATGATACACAAAGACGCTAGAGGGATTTCAGTGAGCAGTGACATGATCTGACTTTCTTTTTAGTAAAATTTGAAAAGGGTCCTTGTGGTAGGTAGGTAGTTGAAAAGGGTAGAGCAGAAAGACCAGTTAGGCAGCTAGAGAAATAAGGAGTGATGATAATGATCTGACCCAAGGTCATGGCATGAAGATGGTGAGAAAGGGTTGAGTTCTGGATATAGGTAGGGCCATGTTTTTCTGCCAGAGGTGATTTTGGCCATGTATGAAGACATTTCTGGTTGGCACAACTAGGTGTGCTACTAAATATCCTACAATGCACAGAATGGCCCTCCTCAAGAAAGGAATTATCAAGCCTCCAAATATCAATGGTGCTCAGGTTGAAAACCCTGATTCAGGGCACAGCCCTCAGGATTTGTGATGGGGTGGGAGGGAAGAGACATTAGGTGATTTGGACTTTTCCTTGAGCAGCTGGAAGAGTGGAGTTGACATATTTAAGATGGGCTGTCTGGGAAGGAGCTGCTATGGAGAGAATGCAGTATTAGGAGGTAGGTATTGGGCAGTGTGTTAGAAATTCATGTGGAAGTGTTGACCAGAAAGTGAGATGTGTAGGGTCTGATTCAGTAGGAGACTTTTGCTGGAGAAATTAATTTGGGAACCACAAGCAAAGTGGTAGAATTTAAACGTGAAGCCTTAGAAATGAAGAGATGAGCTTGAAATATGTGATCCTAAATATGTAGTGGATCACATTCTAATTACTTCCATTTGGAAGCCAAATGACATTAAAAAATTATTTTGGTAAATGCATATAAACTTTGCCATTTTAGCAGTTTTAAAGGTGTAAAATTCAGTGATATTTAGTACATTTGCAGTGTGGTGGAACCATTACAGCTATCTAGTTCCAGAACATTTTCATTATCTAAAATTACATTTGCAACTGATCTTATAAAAACTAGGAAACAAATTTTTTTTTTTTTTTGGAAAACAAGTTCCAAAAGAAAAAGATATTCTGTATTCGTTTTTTTGTGACAGACTTTTTAAATAGCCTAAGTCATTCTAAGAGATCACTCTGGCGTAATGAAACGTGCTAAAGTTTTGTGCACAAGCTGAATCCTCAAATCCTGAGTGTTTAATGGGGAGAAAGTTATTGAACCTCTATGGGCCTTATTTATCTGAAAATGGGTAAACAATCAACATTTCACAGGATTGTTTTGAGAA